ATCTAGCAATGGGGGACAGTGTGAACATCAGCCTGGATCTGCCTGGATCGGGGCTAGAGCCCATGTCTAACTCGGTGCTGAACGGGCTGCTGGAGAAACAGCTGGAGGAGGTGTACATGCAGCATCTAACTGAGAACTTAGCTCGGTGCAACTCCCACCTGGGGAACAGCCTCCTGCACGGCCTGGTGCCCCCGCCGCAGCCTAGCAGCCAGTCAGAGGGGCCAGACTCATTACTGGGATGCATGGAAGAAAGCACAGAAGACAGCAGCAGTAAAATTTGTTATCTGAACACCCATAACTTAGTGCCCTGCTCCTCCAACTTCAGCTCCCCAGTGTTGAGGATTTCAGAGGCGGAAAATCCTCATCCGCAATGATCCTGCAAAAGCTTTAAATATTGTGACCTAGACGACTTTGCTTCAGTGCTTCACACCCAAGTTTACACACACACAATTGTATCCACTATATCAGTGCTATTTTTATACAAAGCCTTGCTCTCTTGCTTAAGATGCCTGAAACTTAGTTGCTTTCATATGCCATCTTCTGTTAGATTTGAGTATTACACCACCGGGGAGCTACTTGTTATACATTCAAATGGATTTTACTGACTTATAGTTGGGAATGTGTTAAGTGTTTGATTTATAATAAAGCAAGATATAACAAAGTATCAGCTTGTGGTTGTTTACAACTGCGTTTTATTAATCTGTTGCTTTTTACCAACACCTGTAAAGCCATCTTGTACCCATCTACTTACTTAGACAGCAGAAGGCTGGATATTGACATTTATGTGCGCTATGAAAAAATATGGTGTGCAAAGGTTTTTGCTACCAAATAACTGATTCAAGTGTGATTACAAAAAGCCTTCGGACTGCCTGATATCTAATAGAGGTCAGGAGAAAAAAGTGATAATGCTGGCATGTTAGCAACAGAGATTAAACACAACCCCACCGACAAGGCCCCCCTTTAACACAAGCACAAACTTTACATGTTATCGACCAGTTCTATGCAAACGTGTCTGATTAGGTTTCCATGATGATTTCCACGGGTGTATACACATCACCTAGTTTGATCTCCACTGGCAGATAAAGGAATAGGAGAAAGCAGGTTCTTCCTGTAGACCTGAGAAAGATGTTACCTTGTTAAGTTTAGAGAATAGGCTTTAGTACAGCTGTTTCCACCATGATTATTATTAGTAGTGGTTAGGTTTTTGTTTAAAGGGACCCGAAGATCACTCTAGCTTTGGCATCAACTGTCAGAGCAGCAGTCTCAAGAAATATGATTGATCTGGCTGCTAAGAGAAAACACAAATCGTCCTCACAAGTAGGCATCCTGCAGTGAGGTTAATGGTAATTCATTAACATGCACCAACATAATCTTTGGAAGCCTAAGGCATGCTATTCATCTGTGAAAAGAGATGGAAAACAGAGATTTAACTGAGGTTATCCTGTAATTAATAGATTAGAATTGGCAGTGTGATCAGGCTTTGTTATATGTAGCCTCTGTGTGGAGATTATGGCAGGTAAATCCAAGGTAATTTAGAGGAGCTAATCTAAAAATTGAATACAAAGACAAAGAACAGGGGTAAATTAGATTTAACTTGTGGGAGATGTATTAGTCCCAAACCGAGTGAACAGAGGAAATTAAGTTATTATGTTTCATCTGATATAAGCTTGAAGTCTATTGAGATGGATTCAAATACCTCATGTTTGTTGTTAAATGTGTTCATCTGAACCCAGTCTAACTTAACACTTGTTTCAACCAAGTCAAACTATCAGTTCGTGGGTTTTTTTGGTCAGTTTGCTCTGAGCTACAGTCTTTGTATTTTACTATCTGTCCATTACCAGCAAATTTATAATCATTTTCATCAATTCATTTTTAAGAGTTTTACTTCATCATGAATTCATTTTTATTTAAACCACTTCTCAATGACTTTCAGATTATGCTTAGCATTACCTTTAGCTAAGCGTAGCTAAAGGTAATGCTAAGCGATGGTTAAATGTTTTGGATATTCTTGTAGCTAACTTGTTATTATCATCATTATTTTTTAGCTAACTATGAAACAATTCTACCACTACTTTTTTCTGCTATGCTATTTAACGTCAGTTTAGTGTTTCACAATATGTTAATCCAGCCCGTTAGCTAACAGTTTCAGCTGTTTTTAGCTATACGTTTAGCTAGCTATTTCAAGTATTTATTATTCACTCTGGCCCAGTATTCATGCTATTCTAATCATTTTTGCCCTCTCTTTGTCTATTTGAAGTCCTTATTCATAACTCACGCCTGTTCAGGATCACACAATTTCTTTACTAAAATATTTTTTAATTTTTCTGATTAGCAAAGCTAATATTGCCACATACCAACTACTACAGAGGTATCCCTGAGCAGTGTAGCCTACCTCATGTTTTGAATCACTTCCCCACTTCACATTGATAACATTATACCTTATTAGGGGCCCTATCCAGTGTAATTACACAAGTGTTTTCAGCTGGTTGATTAGACCTAAGTAAAGGCAGAAGCAAGCAGGAGTTATATAAGGTCCTGTGGTAGAAAGTGGAAGCTATTCAACTTTAACAGGTTCCGGCATCATCAAAAGGATGTGGTGTACTGGTATCCATGATGCATGCTGTTTACAGGGATTACAGGACATTAATTCATGCTTTAGCAAAATCAAGTGATATGAAAACCCATGACTGAAAATAGATTTTTTTAAAACATAAAACTAAATTATCTGCAACTTAATAACTGAATTAAAATGGCATACCTGATTTAGGCTCGCACACAGGCAACATTAGAAATTTAGATTCAAGTCAGTTCAGAGCAGTTGTCTGACCTGAAACAGGACGGACGGCAGGCAGGAGGCTCTCAGTCAAGTCTGATACACAAGACAGTTTCCACCGTTTATAGGTGTGTACACCTACATTACACAACATTCATGGCTTTACATGTCCTATAATTAAATTGAATTCTAAGCAAATAAAATTAATGAAATGATTAAATTAATTAAGAATTAGTAGCCTTATTCTTATGAATTTGCAATACAAAACTACACAGTGAAAACACTCAGATGAGAGGGCATCTCTACTTATAGCACAGGTGTATGTGCAAGGTGTGATGAACAGTGACTCTGTGTCATTAAATGTTCTTGTGAACAAGTAACTTGGTATTTAAGTTACTACTGTTAAAGTAAAAGATGAATGAAAAGGGATTTAGGAAAAAAAAAGTAAGCCTTGTTAGAAAGATCCGAATTTATAATGTTTGTTTGTGCTGATATTCCCAATCATGTATTATAGAATTTACATTCATTTTTATACATTAATGGCAAGTTAGTTGATTATATATTACTTACATCCAACCACTCGAGGATCAAAGAATATTTCTGAGGGTGGCGTGAGTTGGAGTTGTACTGAAAGTCTAAGGTGAACAAGGGGAACAGGAATAACTGCACAGTCCACGGATGTGAGATTGGGCGGAGCAACGCCTGTCTGTCAGCAATCCATGCAATGGAGGGTGTGTTTACTGATATTACCTCCTCTGTCTGTATCAGTGGCTGAATCGTGTAAAATGATTAAACGCTGTGCAGCATGTAGATGATGGACTGTGTGTAAACTGCAGAGGGTCAAGATGGACTGACGTGGACTGACATGTCTTCCCATCACCTTCCTCACACGCGATTTGAAGTCCGCCAGGTTGATAGTCAGTAAGTTTGGACTTTGTCAACTTCTCCAGTAGAGGAATCAAACAGGATGTTTTTTCCATTTCAGACTCGGGTTGTAAATATGACTTAGAGTCACAGACGGACTTGCTGCTTCTTAGTTTCTCCAGCTGTTTCCTAACATGGCCAGAAGTTGCAGTCAGGCATTGTGTGTTAATCAGAGGTGGAGAGGTCTGATCCTCAGTGAGTTCACTTGTAGGGAAGAAGGGACGAAGGGCAAAATCACTGAGGTAGTGAGGGTGTGTAAAAAAACCAAAACAACTCTTAGCTTTTAAATGTTCTCTTGGACTGGAGAAGAACAACTAACAACTTTCCAGAAGCACAAACAGATTTTAAAGCAACAGAAAAAAAAAAATCACATGCCATCTGCCTAACATTTTGGAAAAGGGAACAAGTCACACAAGCAACATATTTTTTACTTTTTGTTTGTTTTCTGTGTAAATGACCCGTACAACTATACAGTGGAAGGCTTATTCTGACACAGATCCTTGTGTTTGCAGTGGAACTGACGGACTGCACGCATATTGGCATAAAATATGTAAAGACGATAAACCGAATTTAATAAGAAGCCAGTGGGAGGAAGAGATACTGTCTTGGCTGATAATTAAAGCCTTTTTCTCACCACTAGGCAACATATTTGTAACTGTAATTCAAACTATTTCAATAATCACAACATGCCGCATCAACAATAAGTTGCTTGTTTGAAATGAAAGATTGCAAATCAAATAAGCCACAGCAGAACACAAATTCCACCAAATGAAGCACTGCTACCACAGCATGAGAACAAACACTGAAAATGAGTCCATTATCGGAGAAGCCCTTTCTCTGCTAGGTAAACAAAATATATTAACAATTATTGCAATCTATCTAAGCTTTGTGCACAACAAACCATCAGTGCTAATACCCTGGCTGAATCTTGTGCATGTGTACTTGCATTACTTATGCCGTGGGGACACAAATGTGTGTACACAGGCACATATTGTGGACTTAAAGCAATTCCCTGTAATGGAAATAATCATATTTTGGGTTTTGTTTTGGCTTCCAGTTAGGGTTCATTTTCAGGAAATGGATGTAATGTTCTTTGAGTTGCTGATGAGACCGTCTGTGTGTGTGACACACCCCTTGAGCTCTGTGCTGCTGGTATCATTGCTAGCTCAGGGATTCCTGTGCACATTAGTGGCTGCATGAGTCCCAGTCAGGTTGTTTTGTGTGTCTCGCCCCCACCCCCCATCTCCATAGTCCCACTCCTATTCTCTGCCTCTCTCTGCTGTTGTCCCAGCATGGCTGCAGGATGACTGCTCTGTGGACTCTCTCTCTGCTGCTCTCTGCCAGTCTGCTGGGCTGTCTGGCAGAGACCTCTCCCGATGGGAGCCCTCTGCCCCACAATCTGCCTCCCTCGCTGGGCACCAACAGTAGCGATGGCAGCCTGTCTGTGGATCTACCCATGGCTCTGAGGGTGTTCAGCATGGACTATCACCACGTACAGGCTCCCTTTGAGATCGTGCTGTGGATCATGCTGGCCTCACTGGCCAAGCTGGGTAAGCCTCAGTTGTGCTCACACTCATCCACGAGAAGCCAGCTTCTTTCATATATAATATAATGTATATAATATCTATTATTTTTCTACATTTCTAGTTATTTCCAGGATTTTTTAAAACTCACACCAAACCTCAAGTTAACAATCTGTTCTATCAATGAAAGAGTTTATCTGAGTGCAATGGTAGTAGTCCTCCCTCGGTATAGCTACAGAGCGATTTAGTCAGAACTCCACAAAGTTCGGATCCTGCTGATTTCCTTTTACTCCCTCTCCGTTTCTCATTCCCTCAGGTTTCCACTGGTCAGGTCGAGTCCCTGCAGTTGTCCCCGAAAGCTGCGTCCTCATCATGGTGGGCCTCCTGGTTGGAGGTGTGATCTATGGGGTGCGCCACTCTGCTCCACCGACTCTCAGCGCCGATGCTTTCTTCCTCTTTCTGCTGCCACCCATCGTGTTAGATGCGGGATACTTCCTGCCAGGCAGGCTGTTCTTTGAAAACCTTGGTACAATCCTCTGGTTGGTAGCTTTAAAATGTTTGATTTTTGTGTGTGTGCGTGTGTGTGTGGAGGCATTCGTATGCAGATTGCGTTGAACAGAATGAAAGTACACCATTTCCACATAAAATATGAGTAGAAAGAGTTTGATTTAAAAGTCAGAATTAGACTCTTTATTTTGGTTTTACCCTTTAAAGCCTTCTTCTACCTCTACGTCTGAATCATCAGTGTAAATTACACAATATAAAAGAAAAATTCAAAAGAATAAATTGCAAAAAAAAAAGTCATGATGCACCAAATATGATACAAATTGAAATTCACAAACAGAAATCTATATTTTATTTATTTATTGTTTAAATTTCTTCAAATGATTTAATGAATGGTCCACTTTCAATAACAATTGAATTTTGTGGCAATTATTTCATGGTTCAGGCTCAGGGTTGACATTTGAAACATCCAAATGATAATTATTTGATCTCCTGCTTAATTCATCATTTTGATCGTGTACCAAGAATTGGACAGTCTCTATTTTTTATGACGGTTTTATTTTAACGGAGAGAACCAAGATATAAACATCCCTGCATGTCACTGAGTGAAATGAGTATTTGGTTTCCTACAGCCCAGCCAGAGTTCTGCCTCCCACAGAGTCACAGGATTGTTTGACTGGAATGGGTTAAAGCCGCGGTCCCCAACCGCCGGGGCATGGACCGGTATCGGTCCATGAGCCGTTTGGTACCGGGCTGCAAGAGTTGAAGCTTGGGTGTGAAATTTATGGTTTTCAGGGTTTTTATTGGTTTTTATTGTTATTTTTTTAAAAATCGTTTTTATTGTTAATTTGGTTTCCCTGGTTCTTTTCCCATGGTTATGGATAGATCTTCTTTTTTTGGGGGTACTGGTACTGGTTTTATTTTGTTGTATTTATCTGCAACAAAAATAGAGACTCTTCAATTCTTTGTAAGTGAGTGAACTTACAAATTCAGCAGGAGACCTAATAATCATTTCACCCACTGTGTCATGTATGGCTGTGTGGCAGACAGATGAAACAAAGGGAGTGAACTAAAGGAGGCAGTTTCATGTGCTGTAACACGGTGCTTGAAATAAAATACAAAAACAATAACAAATAGAAACGAATAAAAGATAAACTAGAAACTAACAAGAGGATGGGCAACAATTGTAAACACAGCTGGAACCTATACAGACTAATAGGACAGGGGAAGTAAAACTGAACATACTGTACAAGGATGAGAGACTGTCAAAATAAAACAGGAAGTTCAATAAAAACAGAGAAGAAGACTAGCACACACTGGGGACATGACCGACAGGGGAACACAAAACACAGAGACAAGACATGAAGACAACGTGAAGACAAGGCTGAATGAACACAGAAGAAGACGAGACACTGAGGGAGGAAGAACTCTAAGATTACTAAGAACTGACCATGAACTTAGGAATCACATTGAATATTCAAAATAAACATGACGCACTGCATATGTTACCACATTTGTCATATTTTGAGCTTATTTTTGTGGACCTGAGTGGCTAAACTCAGATATTCATCGAGTATTTGTTAAAGGTACCTGGAGCAGGTGTCTTAAAGCTGGTTTCTTGTGCATGTGCAGGTATGCAGTGCTGGGGACCTTGTGGAACGTCCTGGGCATCGGCCTGTCTCTGTACGGTGTTTGCCTGCTGGCTCAGAGCTCACTAGGAGATGTCTCTCTGCTCCACTGCCTGCTGTTTGGCTCCCTGATCGCTGCTGTAGACCCAGTGGCGGTGCTTTCTGTTTTCCAAGAGATGCAAGTTAACGAACAGCTGCATATCCTGGTGTTTGGAGAGTCACTGCTCAATGACGCCGTCACTGTGGTGAGGACAGAAGCGGTGCGTGTGTCAGGTACCTAAATGAAACACTTGATACTCATAGACGTTTCTTCCTCTCAGGTGCTCTACAAGCTTTTTGAGTCCTTCCTCCGTCTGCCATCAGTGTCAGGGCTGGATGTTTTGCTGGGGGGCTGCAGGGTGGTGGTGGTCGGAATCGGGGGCTTGTGTGTAGGTCTCTTCTTCGGCCTGCTGGCAGCCCTCACCTCACGTTTTACCTCCAGGGCCCAAGTCATCGCCCCGCTCTTTGTCTTCCTCTATTCCTATTTGTCTTACCTTACCTCAGAGATGCTTCACCTCTCTGGGATCATGGCGTGAGTGCTGCTCAGAATCATCTGAATCCCAAAGACCACAAATTGTACACATTAGTATAAACATTAGTTAACTTTGCTTCCCCTTTCCCTGCCCTGCAGCATAGTGACCTGTGCTGCTACAATGAAACAGTACGTGGAAGCAAATGTGTCGGAGCGCAGCAACACCAGCATCCAGTACTTTCTGAAGATGTGGAGTAGCGTGAGCGAGACCTTAATCTTCATCTTCCTGGGAGTGTCCACCATACAGGACATCCACATGTGGAGCTGGCCGTTTGTGTGCTCTACACTGCTGCTCTGTCTCATCTGGAGGGCCACGGGTATAAGTTTTTCCCCGCACTTTAAAACAAGTTATATCACAAGATCAGCAAAGTGGATATCTAAACTCTTTCTCACTTCTTAAAAGGCGTGCTTTTGCTGACCGCGTTTGTGAACAAGCTCCGGAGGAACGCCGTGACCTTCCGAGACCAGTTCATCATTGCCTACGGTGGCCTGAGAGGGGCAATCTGTTTTTCCCTGGTCTTCCTGATTGATGACTTCCCAAAGAAACGACTCTTCATCACCACTACCATCGTGGTCATTCTCTTTACTGTCTTTGTACAGGTGGGGCAAACATGTTCGTGAATTGTAAGGAAAACAGTTTGTCATAGTTTGAAGGTGGATTTTATGTTCTGAGTCTGGTTTGCAGGGGATGACCATCAAGCCTCTGGTGGAGCTACTGTATGTGAAGAGGAAGAAGAGAGCTCTGCCTACTCTCAGCGAGGAGATCCACAGCAGGGTGAGAGATTACAGGAATCACAGCTAAGTGTGGATTTGTGATAGGGCTGTAGATAACTCTGGACACTACTGATTTTTAGATATCAGTAAATTAGCAAAGACTGTCAAGGATTATGATCTCAGAAGAGCAAGGCTTACTAACCAAAAGGAAACAAGGTGAGTTCGGTTTTT